TGAAAATTTTTTTAAACATTTTTTTCCTTTTTCTCCCCAAAGCCCCCCAGTACATAGTTGTATATTCTTCATTGTGGGTCCTTCTAGTTGTGGCATGTGGGCTGCTGCCTCAGCATGGTTTAATGAGCAGTGCCATGTCCACGCCCAGGATTCGAACCAACAAAACACTGGGCAGCCTGCAGTGGAGCACGCGAACTTAACCACTCAGCCATGGGGCCAGCCCCTCCATATAAAAATTTTTAATATTTTATTCTACAAGGAACAGGATGGTATTTAAATGAGAAGCGTAGAACAAATATATTAATAGAAAAATAGTAGAAATTCAAATGAAAAGTCGGAATGAGTGAAGCTGGGGGCAAGGAATAGTTAGGATAATAATTGAACAGAGAGACTTAGGACGAATAAAGTAAAGAGGTGGGGAGAAATTCAAGAGATATTTCTGAGGTAAACTCACTGCACTCTAATAACAGATTACATGTATGGAACAACGGGAGTAAATGATTAATGCAAGAGTCTTTGTTTAACCAACTAGGTAGGTAGAAATATTAACTATTACACGGGGAAGGCAGGAAGAGGAATTGTTTTGGCACAGACGTCACTGATGATGCTGATTATGTGCTTGTTTGCTCTTGGTCTACTCTGCCCTTCCCCTGAATTCCTCAGCATTACAAAGAACTACATTTCTCAGACTCCCTAGTTTCCAGGCAGGTTTGGGCAATGGCAGATGCCGGAGGTTGGAAGGTAGAGAGAAGTCAGGATATTTCTTCCTCTCTTACTTTGCCTCAGGAAACATTTCTCACAGTGACCAGATCTTTTCCAAGATTTCAGCTCCCATCAGACAAGCTTTGTCCTTGGTTCCAGCTTCCTCAGTGGTCATAGCTCTAGCTTCAGCTATTGTTCTAGCTGGGTGGCTTTGCCTTATGGATTCTGGAAACTCCACCTATTGCTGTTATCCCTCTTGCCCTAGGGATGATAGGGACTTCCTACTGTTGCTAATCTTTGGATTGTCTTGCAATCCCCATGTTACGTTCTTGTCTCATTTATCAACTGTGTAACCAAATCCCAGCATTAAATTCCCTGTTAAATTCTTGACCAGGTCCTGACTAATACAGTAATATATTCAGTTTTAGATACATTGAGCTTGAGAAAGTGTGGGGCTCCCTGGTCAAGATATTTAGTAGAGGCTTGGAAATAGTTACCAAAGACCTAGAGACAGATGAGTGTGGAAGTCAACAACATGCAGGTGGAATTTGAAGATGTAAAGTTAGATTTCCCAGGCAGAATGAGGAGATGAAGAGATCAAACCAAAAAGATTAAATAGTAGGCTAACCCCTGAAAAAAATCAATGTTTTTAATTTAAGCCAAGAAAGAACTTGAAGACTGAAAAGGAGTGGCCAGAGAAGCAGAAAAGCCAGGTTAGGAATGTCACAGAAGTCAAATGAGTGATGAATTTTCTAAAGACAGAACAACAGTGTTAAACTTGGTGGAAATAGCAGATAGGACACATACAAAAGGATCCAGGCAAATAAGACAAACATCTTCCTTGTATTTAGCAAGAGGAGCGTCATTGCTACTTTTGTCAGAACAATTACAATGTAGTCGGGGAAAGAAACAAGATTATGAAGAGTTAAGACACAGATGAAAATGGGAGAAGCCAGAAATGAATGTAAGTTACTCTTTCAAGAAAGTAGACAATGAAGACCTTGAAAGAAAGAGTTACCTTAACTCAGAGGGAGAGGAAGGGCTGAGGAAATGAAAGAAGTGGCTACTGAAGATACCACAAAAGTAAGAGGAAATGGGATCAAACATATAGTGGAATGGTTATTCCTCCTGAAGAGGGCGGGTGATGAGGTTAATTAAGATATAGATACATTTACGTTAATTAAGATATAGATACATTTACAAGGTGTCTAATTGTGCCTTTTCTAACTTGGTATTATCAAGTAGTATCCACTGTGCACAAATGTCTCTAAAATGAACAGAAGTATTATTCACTTTTCTTTTGCTCTCCTACTCACAGCTCCCTTTTAAAGCAAAAAAGAAAAAAAAGTTGGAGTCACACATCACCTTTATATGAATCACACGCTTGAGGCTGTGTTAACTTTTCTCCAAATGTCTCTAGCAAAGCATGAAAATTCCATGTTTGTAATGACTGATACTAGCATTTTGAAAAAGAACAGACATATTCATAAAATTGGCTTTTCCTGAGTGCTGATCTGTCGAATTTTTTTTCTCGTGATGAGGACACTTAAGCTTTATTCTCTTAGAAACTTTCAGATGTCGAATACAATATTAACTGTAGTCACTATGCTGTACATCTCATCCCCAAGACTTTTATTAACTGGGAAGTTTGTACCTTTTGGCCCTCTTCACTCATTTCACTCACCCCCCCGCCCCCCCAAACTTCTTAATTGACAAAGTTGTCCCATTGTTTACTTTTCCAGATGCTACCTGAAAATATTAAGAAAATATTAAGAAAACCAGTTCCATATATTCTATTTATACACATTGTATGAAGTATTGGAACAGTATAACTATTTGTGGAAAACTGTCAGTTCTTCATATAATTACCCTGAGGCTGTAAACTACACAGTAGTACGCGTCTTTGTTGTGTATTTGCTCATAACTAGGAGGCTCAGAAATCAAGTAGTGTAAATCAGTTCCCATAAGGATAATATAATATCCAGGCATCAAGCAATGGGTTGAAGAAAACTGATGCCTTCATAAATATATTCCATTTTGTTGATAAGGAGAAATGAATAGTGTTGAAATAGTTTGGATAACCAAGGACAGAGGTAACAACTTGTGTAATGCTTAGTATATACCATGCTGTGTTGACCATATTTCACATATTTACCTAATTTAATCCTTAAAACACAACCCTATATATATTTTACTTAATTTGGTCCTTAAAACGGCCCTTTAGGTAGAAAATATTGTTATCTCCATTTCACAGATGAGGAAATAGACCTAGAAAGATAGTCTAGACTGTGACTCCAGCAGTCTGGCTCTGAAATCCCCATTCATACCCACCACACTATAGAGTGTAATTTACAGCTAAACTAGTTAGTGTCCCAGATGTACTTACCAACATAGGTTTTAAGGGTATTTTTCTGCTTTTTTTTTTTAAGGACCATTATTTGAGGGTAGAGTTGTTATAGTATTTTTTCCTAAATGTATATCCAAAGAAAAGAATTTCCACAAAAAATAATTTTGAAGTTTTTTAATGCATGAAAAGAACATCCCAGAAACAGAACAGGTATTGACTTATTAATGATGAAGCACTATATAAAGGAGCCCCCTCCCCACTTAGTAAAGAGGAATATAATGTAAATAGACATGAAAGAAGATGATCACTTTAGGATTAAACGCAAACCCCAAAGTTGTATACAACATTCATATATGGCTTATTATCTTATAGCAATATTTTCATAATGATGTATATGACATTTATACTTATTGGTAAGATGCTTCTGACTCAAAAGTTAAACAAAAGTGCTAAAGAGGTAGTTTTGCCAATGCAAGGTGAGAAAAAGGCTTTACCTTGCTTTGTTTTTTTTCCTCAAAAATCTGTAACCATTTCTTTTTGTTCTGATTCTCTTCTGGATCAGCCAGGAAGATAATGATGCTTTCAGAAGAAGCCAATTCAAAACCCTCTAAGAACTGATTCCCCCAAGTGGACAAGGATGGTGTTGAAACTACTCTACGAGTGTCCTTAAAAGGCTCCGTAGTTTCCTCTCTCAGTCTTGGATACGAAATAGATTCTGACTCAAAGGAGATCTGTTAAGATCTGACCAGCAGTTGGAGGAATTCATCCTGTTTTCTCCTCGAATTCTATGCATGGTCTGACGATGGTAACTGCTACAGTGACCTAAGGATATAGGTAAGTACTCCCTGTCATTGTAAGTCAGAGACAGCTTTAAAGACAAAAAATATATATATAAATTGAAGTTTGAAATAAGAATTTGAAAAACCCTCTAGCTGGCCTCTGAAATTGCATGATGAGTACTACAAGTGGCCGCACATAATTCCTCATGTTTTTAGGCGTCACAAAGTCATCACATCTTCGATTCTAAGGGAGTTTTGGCTTCTGACTGCCAGATGCCACATGTTGCTTTATCTGTGCGAGCTGACATGGAGTGGGGGAGGTCTGCTGATATTCAGATTCTTTGACACCAGTCATCTGACCCTATGTACAAACTAGCTTATCCTATCCTTACAATGAGAAATAAGCCCACAAAGAAAAGAAAAGTTAAGTTTCAGGGGGCAAGAAAATATTTGTCAACTTGCAAAACTAGAACAGTCATTTACTGGACAATGGTTAGGAACCACTAGAAACAAAGTGACATAATATTAATCAGGTATGACGTTACACATAAGAAAGCATAAATATACAGTAAATAAGAGGTTTATATGTAGCCCCAGCAGAATATGTACACGTTAGAGCTGCTGTGAAACTGAGCAGGAATTCCTGTAGCATATCCCCAGCTAAAAGCAGTTTCCTCACACAACAGTGTGAAGGTGACAGATGCTGAGAGTGACAGGTGGTAACACTAAGTAGATATCCACATAGATTTATCCTGGAAAATGCACAATGTGAGAAACAAAGGGCACAAGTGAAGAGCGCTTTGCCTGCTGAGCTTCTTTCCCATAAAGATGCACGAGTCTGTTCTCCAGTGGTGCTCTGCAGCCTCGCACCTCTTGCCTCTCTGTGGTGCCGGGACCTCTCGGCGCACATCGAGCCAAGTCACATGCTGTACGCTTCCTCCTGCTTCCACTGATTCAGGTCAGGAACTCCTGCCACCAGTCTCCAGATGCAAATCAAAGCATAAATAACAGAGACCACGCTTGTGGCTCCTCCTTTCACAATGTTACTGGGAACAGTGACTGGTCCGAGCAGCACAAATGCCACACACCAGTGTCTGGAAGTGGAGAGCAGCTTTGTGCACTTTTGCAAAAACAGCCCCCCACACCCAAATCCACCCTCTGTGTCTTTTATCTTACTGATTAGCCCTGTCTGTAGCTAGGAAGACGCTGTGTTGCTCCTGGGCTCTTTCTATCAGCTTCCTCTTCTTTTTCTTGTTCTTCTTCTCCTTTGCCTTGGGTGCCCTCTTCCCTACAACAGGGAAAGAGAAAGAAATGAAGACATGTCAGAAAAGGCTCTTTCTCTAGCAAAGAAAACACAAAACATTAAGAGTTTTACACAAAGCCCATCTGGAAAACATCACCTATGGAAAAAGCAGCCTCAAAGAGAAAATTGTTCACATTAATTTTGACGGAATAATAATAATTTACTAAATTGGATATGCTGTCTAAAGCAGAGACTGATCTTCCTGTTACAGGGAACTGGCGTATTTAAAAACCTCCCAGCGGCCTGATCAGTCTTGCAAATATCATCCTGCCACAAAAATTCCATTTATCCCCTCCGACTTTTAACAATGCTACCCTTTACTAGACATCTTTACATCTTTCTACTGCTCCACATGTCAGTGGGTCGAAAGAAAATAAGCATTTATCTACAGTAAATATACCAGAAGTTTCAAACTCCCCTCTCCCTGCCCCATGGGAGGAAAAAATGTCTTGCTTTTAACATTATTCCCCCCATGTTCTCCAAAGACCAATATACGAAATGACATATGTGGAATACTTCTTTACTTTCTACAAAAATTCACGAGGACTTCATTCATTATGTGGCTTATGGCTTCTTATACAACTCCCCCAGACAAGTTGTTCTTATTATTAATTGAGAGTGAGAAAAATGCTTGTTTCTGAAGAACTGGTGGTATGTGTCTTACTGCCAGGAAATCAAACCACGTTATTTCTCCTCTTTGCCTTACCCACTAGGAAGCCCAGACCACGAGCTAAATGGGTGAGGTTTTCCTCTATCAGGAGATTTTAGATAGTTTTCCCTTTGCCTCTGCTATACTTTACTTCTTCTATCTTGTGGTTATGATTTATAGTTTTTATAAGGTCTCAATGTTTCTTTGCAAGCATGTATATATAAGATTGTGAGAAAATGAGAATAAGGAACATAGGCATTCGCTTTAGGTCCATTGCTCTCTCTGAGTTCTAAACACATAGGAATCATGGGATTTTTAGAATTGAAAAGAGCTTTAAAGGTCACCTACATTTTACAGAAAGTCAGACATCACCATACACCTTCAGTACGGGAAGGTTCTCCCCCAGACTAGAAATTTCAAATCCTATTCTTCCTCTCCTACCTGCCCTTCTTCCGAATTTATCATGTAGTTCTACAAAACTTCAGTTTTCTCTTCCTGTGAGGTATAGCTATTAGACACTGTAGTAATCAATACGACAAATAGAACATTCAGTGCTAATCCATGCTTTCCAGCCTCCCCCATACCTAAGAAACTCAACATCCAAGACCCTTTCATTACAGAGACATAGATGGCCAGCTTTTCAATCCAGACGATGGAGAAAGTGGCTGATATAAGAAATGAAAAAGAAACAGGTAAATGGCTTTGGAAACCAGGGTATGCTAGATTAAGAGAGACTATGAGATTTCTAAATAAGGGAGGTGTTCCTCGTTTCCACTCTTTCTCATCAGGAAGTATCCATTTTGTTTGAGGTGGAAAACAGTCTCACTCAAGACTGTAGCACATGGTTGGCACACAGCTGATGTTCAAGAAATGTTTGAGGGGTAAAACTATCACAAGAAAAAATATAAAAAATAACATTTTTAATAGGACACTACAGTAAAATAATCACAATGTGATCATGCCCTCATATTAGATTATGAAGGCCCTTTAAGTTAACTTCTGGTTCTTGTTAAATTCTGGCATTAATGTTATAATGGCATTTTGCCATCTTTAAACATAGGCATAATCTTACTCAGTGAAACGTTAGTCCAAGCCATCATTAATCAAAGAAGCTGTAAAGTTACAATTATTCAGCAACATTATATCTAATGATGAGACACACATAATGAGGGAAGAGGAATGAAATACTTAACATAAAATAGCATGTTTAAAAAGAAGCTTCAATTATAAAGTTTTATGAAGAAAGTTCTTAGTTCTATATTTTCTTTAACCAAACAAAAGTTCCTTAGTTAAAAAAATTCATTACTGACTACATTGTAAAAATTAATTTAGTTTATGTTTAATTTATTTAAAGCCTGAAGTTTAAGAGCAAATGGAACTTAAGTGAATGGAAAAATAATGCTAATATTAATAAATTTTAAAATATGTTAAGATAAAACATATACTGGATATATGTTACTTAAAGAAAGCTTTTCACATTCACCGCCTCAATTCTTCATACAAATTATGTAGTTGAAAGTTAAATGTACGTTACTCTAACAGCAAATCCACGCTAAATGAATGGAAACTCATTTTAAAAGGGTCAATTTTATGTCATTTACCTATTATTCTGATATAATTGTCAGTATCAAAGAGTCTTTGGGTTTGCTGGCTGATAATATTGTGTGATAGGGAAGTTATTAAATATTTACATAAAGTAGTTCATATTGTGGCCAAAAATTCAGTAATGCTTCTGCAAACTTATTTTATATGAAATAAGTTTTCAAATTGTATGATTAGCCCATCGGCAATAAGTTACATGGTACTGGTTCCAACTAAAGATGTTTTGGGAGACCTAATTACAACCCTAAAAATTTTCCTCAGAAGTCTCTTTTGAATGACATCTCTATGCTATTGGTTCATTGCTTGGTTTTGGTTTTGGTAAGCCCCATTTCTCATGTAGGATATATTGCAAATACCAAAGAATTAAGATGGTTAGCCAAGATTTGACCACGGATAGGCCTAAATTAACTGAAAATATTTTGTGGTCCACAGTAGGTTTTTTTGACTTTAAGCCCAACTCAAAGTAATAAAAGAATATTAAAACATAACCTAAGAGAAGGTATAAAAAGGATCTTGTACATACTTCCTTCTCAACTCTAAGATTTTTCAAACATAAGAAATTAATCATAAGGATTAAAGCTAACAAAAAAATCTGTTTTTGTCTATGTATTTGAAAAGAAGTTATATTGGACATACAAGCATGCTAATTTACATTTCCACTTAACCTCTTCACATCTGTGGATATGAGATTAGACTTGGAGAATGACTTCCAAACTTTCACCCTGTACAGGAAGCATTTAAACGCAAGTATGATACCAGCCACCCAAAGAGTAATTCAACTCATCGATTTAACTGTCTTACTTTTTAGTTCACAAGACTTGGAAAATATAGTGCCCAAGATCAGCAGAAAAGATTTGAGTTTAATGACAAATTCTGCATATCTTTGTCCTGCATGCTTTAACAATGCAGCAGCTATGACAAATCACTATTGAGTGAGTCTGATCTACAGAGCAAATCTTTTCAGCATTGTTCTACAGATGCAAGATGACAACTGGCCTAGATACTACTGTTGTTAAGGAAAGCAATGCAGTTTAATAGAGAAAGGCCTCCTCAGGGAGGAAGGAAAGCTGGTAGGTAGGCACAATCTTATAACTCAGATGTCTAGTAAGACATTATACTCATGACTCTGTTTTTACATTTATAGACTGAAGATGCTACGATCAACCTTCACTAGAAAGTTATGAAACACTGTATGAAAACGTTGTGTTCCTAGGGTGAAAGCCGTGTAAAATATCACTAGCAAGACAAGATTATCATCAAAATGAACAAAGTCAGAAAGATACTATCAAAGCCACACTCTGACCAACATAATTACATTGACTTGCACACATGTGGAAATGGTCCAACAGGATAACCTATCAACTCTTCTACAGAGAAAGGTGAACAGTGCCTTATGGAAATACTCCTAACATGCAGCTGTAGATTACTGCTATTAGACTTAGAAATAGGAGAGATTATTTTGAACTAAGATATCAGGCAGACTCACAAATTACATGAAGCTGTGAAAATACTGACTCCACGGCCAGTCAGACATGAATTTCATTCATTCATAAGTTCCCAAATTCAAGGAAGGTCTTCAAATGGTTTCTACAGTTACTAGGTTTAGGTAAGAGTCTTTTCATCACTGGAACAATGGTTCTTGTACATCCATTATTAAGTTACAAAGGTTGTCTAGGGTTTTCATAATGATTACTAAGAGTTTTGAGGAAGACTTTCTAATGACAAATACAATGAAAGGAAATTGAAGAAAAAAATGCAGTAGCTGTGACTATCACAAAAGATAAAAGCTTCTCTCTCTCTGTCCTCCTCTCCCTCCACACACACTGGGGAAAGCAAGCCACAATTATGACAAATGTAATTAACTGTAATTACCATTGTTATAACCACAATTATGATGACAAAGGGAATCACCTGAAACCAAGACCAATTTCTATTAAATTTTAATGGTAAGTTTGTGATGCTAACTTGAAACCTGGGCTTCACGGTATTTATGAAATTCACCACGGAGACTTGGGGATCACCTCAGAGAGACTCAGTCATCCTTAAAACAGCTAAATCTGAGGGACAAGAAGCCCATGTAATCACCAACCCGATGAATCTTGCCATACTTCAGAGGACATGCTGGAGGCAGAACACAAAAAGATCGCTTCCACATCTAAAGTCACAAAGATTCAGTTGTAGACAATGAATAGCAACGGGACTATTTCTTTTTTTCATATGGGCAACTTGAGTTTGCCCAAGAATGAGTAGCAACAGAGATTGATTTATTTAAGAGTGATGGATGATTCTCTGAAAAAATGCCAGCTGGTTCCTAAAACCTTTTAAAAGCTCATATAGACAAAAGACCTAAATACAATTCATAATGGAAATAAAAACAGTTAATAAATATATTAAACAATCAAATCTCACTTACAATTAAAACTGCCAAATAAAATGAGTTGCTGTTACAAAGATTCTTAAAAGAGAAAATATCTAAAGCTAGTGAGAACGTGGTAAGACAGACATTAGGATGCATTATGAGAGCATAACATTGATACAGCCTTTCTGAAAAGCCATCTGGCAATGTGTACAAAAGCATTAAAAATATTCCTAACTTTTGACTCAGATCTAGGAATCTATCCTAGGAAAATAATCTAAACTTGGACAGAGATTTATGCATAGAAATGTTTACTATAATTCTGAAAAAATCTGTAAATTACCTAAATGCCCTACTACAATTTTTCATGACTTCTTC